CAGCAGGAAAGATGCATTGTAATAAAAAAGGAAAGCAGCAGAAACATATTATTTCCATCAGCAGTGCTGTGTATCTGTATTCTGTTGGTTCTGTATTCCAGCCAAAATGTCAGGGCTTCAAGAACAGACTTTACCTTCCAGTAGTGCCATGCCTGAAGTGCGACTGACAATGGAATTAATGGGACACGAACAGTGGGAAAGGGGTAACATGAACTCATGTTTCATGTACTGCACAATGCTCTCACCTACTAGAACAGGATTTTCTTAAGAGCAACAGCAGCAGCAAATCATCTGGCAGACATTCGCACCTGCAATTCTGTAAGCCATTTAGTAAGTGGCTTATAACTATGTAGGGAGAAGCAGTGGAACAGCTTTAGGACGCTTAACTTTACAAATGCTGGAAAGCTTGCTAAAACAGTGAGCAGGACACAGTTCTCAAGGACCAGCTTATTGTCTGCCAACCAGATAAAAGTGCATGCATATCCCCCAGGTGAGTGCATGGACAGACTTGGTCTGAGGACTTGCAACAAGGGTAAAATATAAGTTCACATTAAACTGTATTTGTGCTCACTTAATACTGGAAATCATTCTGGTGCTGTGTATTCCCAAAGGGGCATGGAACAGTTGAAAGTGTGGGAATGTCTGTTACTTGTGTTTGATCTGTTGGGACTAGGTAAAAGGTTTCCCCTGTCTCAGCAGTAGTTCCCCCATAACACTGGTAAACTGAAGAAATCCTAGGTCGGCTTGTGCCAAAAAAGCAAGTAAATCTCTAAAAGAGACCCTAAAATTACTGATGTCACACATCTGTGACAGGATATATAAGAAATGTCCTACAATGGAATGTAGATCAGCTCCTGACTGAGCCTAATGGATTTTCTATGGGCATGTCATAGGGTATTAAAGCACTCTGATAGTACCAAAGGACCTTTTTGCAGCCACATAGTTTAGGAGGTGAAGGAATGAATTATGGTGTACAGTTTGGAAGGAGCTGGGCACTGCTGCCTTGTGATGTTAGGAGAAACCACTATCTCTCTGTGCATAAAGAATGAATTAACTTGTATGTCTGAGTGGTGCAATTAAATCCCATTTGTGCAGAGGTGGGAAGATTGCACTTTGTGAACCAATGTCATTCGTGGTCTGTTGAAGCAGTAAATCTCTGGCTTTTTTTGTAACATATTTTATATGTACTTCTTAAAGAACACTGCTCTCCTTCCAAAAGTTTTTGCTCTAAATAAACCATACATTATACCTGACCTTACTTTTTTTGCTCTAACATTCAGAAGTCACCATCCAGCTAACAGAGGCAACAAACACTTCTTCTTGAGCTGGGGGACTGTGCTGATGTGCAAGCCAGAGAAAAGCTCTGAAAGAGATCTATAACTGCTTGTTACTAATCAGATGTTATAAAAAAGAAAAACCACTGTTGACAAAGAAAAAACAACTATGTAGCAGTGGGGGGAACTATATAAAAGAAGTAATAAAAGGATAGCTGTCTGTCTCCACATAAAGCAAGAGTGAATTGGATACTTGTCTGAAATACTGGAGGTTGATGAGTGCTAAACATGAACCACTGAAGGAAAATTGAATGAAGCTCCACCTTTCAGGGACCCTGCCATCAATGTTTTGTTCTCATGCCAAATTCCTGGAGTATAAATATGTGCCTATAAGCCATGAAAATAACACTTCTCTGGAAGGATTTTCAAGTCACCACTTCATGGCAAGATGGAAATAAAAAAGGGGAGGTCATTTTGGATCTTTTGCCTGATTTGGAGTTGTTGCAGTGGCAAAGAACCAGTTCAGATAGGTAAGAAAAAAATCTAATTCTCAGATTATTTGCTCACATATTGCTCCCCATAGGTGACAAATAGAGTTGTCAAATGAAAATGTGTAACATATTCATAAGAGCTGTAGGCATGTCAGATACTGTTTAACATTGTACATTTTCATCCTTAATGTCAACCATTTAAGCAGTTTACTTTTTTTTTTTTTTTGCACTACTACATAGATTATCGACTTTTTTGTGTCCTAAGCAACTAATCTTGTAAAGGAGACTTGCTGGATGCAGTTTGCATTGTAATAAAATGGTGACACTTTTTTCAACACACTTGACCTATATTCTTTATAGAAGTATGTTACCATAATGCCTGCTAGGCTTGACTGACCAGTAGGAAATACTGCATTAGGAGTAAACACATTTTTTGTGGTCTGCTGCGCTGTTACCTCCTGGCTTGGTTTTGAATGTCTCATACTTTACTCAGTTGCTTAATACACAAACAATTTACATGGCAGTTATTTCTGTATCAGTAATTCTAGCAACTCCACTTTCAAGAATAGCTAAACTTTATTTCCGCTTATTATTGTGTACAAAAGGGCTAAATTTCCCTACTCCACTTCAGAGATGCAAACACCCATGGCAAATTCCAGTTCCTTTAAAAAGCTGTTTCTGTAAGGACTTCTTGGCACTGGAGTTTGTATTGTACATTTCTAACATCAAGATCTGAATTTTTCATTGTTCCCTTGCTGGTTCTTGGGTAGGAATATTTAATAAAATCTTTGCGTTCACTGAGTATATTAATGACTGTTTCTTATTTGATCTGTGATGGATGTTGCTGCATTGAATTTCCCAAACATGCTCACAAACAACCCAAAGAAATTTGCCCATTTTCATTTGTCGCTCTTTGAAATGGGCCTAGAAGAAATGTTAAAAGCATTTTGTAGGAAGCACATCTTATTTAATTCAAGGTGACTCACAGTGGCTTTGTGCAGCTTTGGTATGAAAACTACTTTCTGAAGTGAGGTCTTATATGCACTTCAAGTACGTATCAATAAACTTGTCAAACCTTTGACAGAGGTACAACTTAGAGGTCCAAGATATGAGTTTTGGTTGAAAGGAAAAAAAAGTAGCTCTAAGCCAACTGCTGAAGCTGGTGGCAGCCTCAACTGCTGAGGTCGGAGGCTGCCTTTTTGCTGAAGGGTCATGCCACCCATGGTATCTCCCAGAAGGGGCTCAGTTCAAGACTTTGGACCAAAATCTTGCATGTGTTAGAAGCAGTATTTCAAAAGTAAAAATGAGATTTAGGCAACCAGGATGGGATTTCCCTCACTTCACTTCAGATATTTACAGTGTAAATGTATCTACAGTGTAAATGCTGAGGAGTGCCATCTACACTGACACCCCTCAGCAACTTTTATAGACAATGGAGAGAAACATGCCATCTTGTAGCATCTTCTTCCTAGGTAGATATGTAAGGTAGGGAAGCTGAACCTCTTCTGCGTATCACTATTAACTTCAAAGGAGCCTGGGCTCATCTGCTTACATTGGAAGTATCTCTGGCATAGACTTCAAAAGTTTAGTGAGATGAAATTCCTTGTCATAAGCTAGTATCATCCAGAGGTTAACATTTTTGCCTTTGAAAATCTCTCCTTTAATGTTTTTCAACAAAAAAAGGTAAAGCACCTCATGTGGGTTCATTTCCTAAGCTTCCCTCTTGTGACCTTTTCTTTAGTCCAGGTCTCTACTGTCAGTAGGAGTGAATGTGCCACCTGGGGCAATTTCCACTTTCATACATTTGACCATGTAAAATTCACTTTTCCTGGAATCTGCACATATGTCTTTGCTTCGCACTGCAATGACAGCTACCAGGACTTTAACATCCAAATCAGGCGCAGTGACAAGAATAGCTTCCTGATCTACTTCACAGTCACCATTGATGGAGTGATCTTGGAGGTGAAGGAGACAGGCATCACAGTGAATGGGAACAAGTGAGTAAACACCATACTGTTGTTTTCTTGTTCAGCAGTTTTAATGTTATGTATTAGCATTAAAAATTGTATGTCTAGAAAGGGGTCCTGTTCTGAAGAGGTGCAAATGGCTGTGTGTGATGTTCATAGCACTTTGAATAGGGTATTGCAAATAGTCCACCCCATAGTGGAGGAGGAGACCAGAAGCATGTAAACTACAATTCCCAGGGATCAACATCAACATGTTAAGCAAAAGGCAGTATATATGTTATGAAGACAGAATGTGTAGGTTTCCATAATGTTGCTTTGATTTGGGAGGGAGGGACGGAATAAGGGAGATAAAATCAACACTTTATTTACTGAAGATTTTGATTTTGTAGAAACTTTGTAATTTATTTTTTTTTCCTCAAAATACTATTTCTGTGGTACTAACCCTACTGTTGTATGTTGCTGTTCAGGAACAGATGGTCCTCTTAGGAAAAGTTTTCTGTTTCCAGATAGATTAGCCTAGAAAATTGCACTGCTTTGCAGCCTTGGGATCTTCTTACACAAAAGACAGAAGTTTCAGAAGTAAAAATCCACACCTCTAATTCCAATCAGAAATGAACCAGAAAACAAACTGCACACAGAAGGGTAAAAATATTCCATAAGTGAAGAGTCATATGCAACAGTGGCTGAAAGTTGAGCACAGTTTTAAGGTCAGCCTGCATGAGAAGTGCAGTTACCTGATCACAGCATATAGGTATTAAGGGCCAAGGTAAGCTTTGACTCTGGGAAAAACCCTCATAATCTTGTTGGAGAGAAAATTACAAGATTACAGGCTGTCTTCGCTTGACAGCCCTCTAGAAATGACCAAATATAGAATAGCATAACTCATTTGTAATTATAGTACTAAAACCCAGATGTATTTTCTAAATGAAAGGAGAAATGAATCTATCTTTCAACCATTTTTTGATTTTCTAAGTTTTTCAGGCCCTGGGAAAATAAATGGTTATTGTCTCAGTGAGATGAAAAAGTAATGTAGGCCTGAGTCATGTTAGCACAGGAGTTACAGAACAGAGCTGTTTTCACACCTCTGTGAATCCCGAATGTCAATGAAAGCCTGGAGGGATGATGACAATCTGCAGTATCCTTGTGTTGTGATCTTGCTCCTTATAACCTTCTGGGTTAGGTCCTCAGAACATGTAAACAAGCAGAACTGCATTGATATCAGTTGAGTGGCTAATGTAGTGTTGACACACTTATGACCAAAATACACTATGTTATGGATTAAGGGTGGTAAAAGGTCCCAGCAGACAAGGTGATTACACCTAAATTTAATGCAGTGTGTGGATGAAGGTTGACATTGAAAAGAATGTTCCCCATGGCTTATTTATCTCCTTTTGTCTCTAGTTTTTCTTCTTGTATCTCTGAGAGGATTTAATCAGACTTTTTTTCAATGCAATCTATTTTGTTCCTTCCAATTTCCAGGATCGACATGCCCTTCAGCTTGAAGAGCATCCTGATTGAGGACACCTGTACTTACTTTCAACTCACTTCCAAGCTGGGCCTGACACTCAAGTGGAACTGGGCTGACACTCTCCTAGTATGAACAGCCAGTTAGTTGTTTTTGTCATGATAAACCTCATCAATGATGAAAAGCAGAGCTGGATGCGGGCACCATGTTGATATAAGAGATTGTATCATTTTATCAATAAGCTGATAGGGACTTTCCAAACTAGGTAATACTTTTACGGGGACAGGACATGTAGTCACAACCTCTAGGTGTTCCCCACTCATTGTTTTTTGACAAAAAGCGCCACTGTTAACCACGGAGATAGCACATCTGTAGTTATCTGCTTCCTCCATGGGGCTCTGGTAGCACCACAGCTAGTCCCTCCAGCTCTGACTTGTTAGTTACCCTCTGACTCAATGTACTTCTTGTGTCGGAAACTAATCTGTGTGGCCAGTTCAGCCTCTTTGTGTGGCCTCTCTCATTTCAGAGCCTTGTTATGCGGGATTTCCCCTCTATATTTCCACCCTAAAATATACTCTTCTGCAACAGGATATTTACACTTTCGGGTGTGAATGCTTATCTTCCATAATCAGGACTGAGTAAATAAATTAAAGTTGTATGTCATGTTTTGCAGTTCAGAGACAGAGAGAGTAGAAGATGAATAGAGAAAAAAAAAATCAGGAAGCAAACAAGTGGTATTCAAATTCTGATTTAATGAAATATTTGCTTCCCCCGTTCCCCTCTGCTAATTAACAGCTGAAGTATTACAGGCATCACCTGTACAACGGACACAATTTTAGGGTGACACACTTATAGGAAAAGCACCACCTTTTTTTGGTGGTCCTGAGTGACACAAATACCACCTTCCAAGCATGTAAGAGTGATTAGGCGCAATAGCTTTATGTAGCAAGACAATAATGTGCTAACCTAGTTCTTTATTGCCCCTGAATATGGGCAGAACAAGTTATGCTGGACAGACCCACCCCCAGAAATGCTATGTTTTCCATTTAGCCTATGGGCTAGAAAAAGCCTTAGATATGGTTAAAAGCTGACCAGAAACTGCTGTTTTCTGCATCCAGCACCAGAGCACAGTTATCTGACCTGCCCAGAGTGGAGCTGCGGTACCTTGCAAGAGGTACCACGTCTGTATATCAGTGTCTCTCTACTGGGAGGCACTGGTCCAAGGATTAGTGTAGTATTCAGCATGCTTCAGTTAGAATGACATTTGCTAGGGGATTATCTTCCTGTTGAAATTAAACCTGTCAGCATGTAAGTTTTATGGTAGGTTTGTAACAGAAAAGGAGACTGCTACAAACTGGTAATGAGCATTTCTGCTACTGTGCTTTCCAACGTGCTGCAAATGTGGTGAAAAGCCTTTAAACTCCAGGTTTCCTGTTTCCTTTTGTTTTGTAGCTGGACCTAGAAGAAACATATAAAGAGAAAATATGTGGGCTATGTGGGAACTATGATGGCAGTGAGAAGAATGATTTGGTTTTGGATGGTAGGTCATGGATACGGCGTATTCCACATAGAACAGAATTGCTAATACTTGACATGAAACTTGATATCTGTTTCCTCTAAGCAGGGTTTCAGATTTTTTCCACTGAAATACTTGAACATTTCCATATATAGGAGATGTATTTTAGGGATGTTCTGGGACAATCTGAGTTCCTCTGCTGTTCGTAAACTTGCAAGAGTCTCAAATCTTTTTGATCCAAATTAACTGCCTGCTGTCATGCAGCAACATTTCCAGGTTTCCCACTTACAGTAGCAAACTTTAAGGAACTTGTAGTCTCAAATGAGCACGAGTGCATTTTCTGTCCTTCTATTTTGATAATTTTACATCTGGGTATCAAGTGTGATTATTTTTACCTCTGTAATGAAATGAAAGCATCATCACTGAGCCGGAGATTTCACTGAGCATCTTTGCAGGAGCCATGGTGCCATCCACTGACACCTTCAGATATTGCACTGCACTGGAAAGAGGCCAGCACAGCAAACAGCCGAGGCTACAATCCTGCAGTTGATCCTACTCTTTCCTGAGCGGAAGGAAAGCTGCATCCTGGGATATTAGCTACAGGGCTGAAGCCAAATTTATAACTTTGTAACCTTCATGTAATACTTGGGCTTCTTAAATTACCAGAAAAGTATTTTCATCTACCTCACCCATTCAGAAAGAATCCTGAGATTTGTTAAAAATACCACTTGTAATGATAAATTTGGGGTTCATTGTGGTATTTCATATTAAGCTCTTTGGATGTATCATAGTCATGCTTCTGCTCCTTACTTGAAAAGCATAGTAGATAAAAACTAAAGGTGGCTTAAATTTTTCTGAACAGTTTGCTACTGAGAAGCATTGCTCTAAGAAAAACAGGCTGTTCTTTTATGTGTCTGGTTACACAAATAACAGGTTCCCATGCCTGGGGAGCAGGTGGCCTCCCACGTTCCCCCTTCATACTCTGAAAACATGCTTCTGCCTGTGCTAAGCAGGTAACAGCCATTCTGCCTGCCCAGCCTAAAATCTACTGCGCAAGAAGTTCCAAAAC